TGGGTGGGTCCCAAACTTCCTGTCTATGAAGTTCTCACTGGAAGTGTAAATTAACTTTGTTCTGCTTTCCTGCAGTGAAGTCAACAATTGATTGAAATTTACAATCATTTCTAATTTAATTTAGTTGCACTTTGAAAACCCTGGCTTTAGAATTTGTCAGAATTTTTAGCACAGGACATGGCTTTAGTGTGACTATGTATTCTTATGTGTACCACAGATGTCTTGGGCTAAAAAAATCCATCTTTAGAGTGACTTTGTGAGAGCTGTAGAAACCCTGCGCTCTGTTCCGCTTGAGAAAAAAAACAGATAGTCAAAATCAACGCTGCGGACATAATTTGCAGCAACGGGTTACAGAGATTTCTTCTCTCGCTAGCATGCAGTGTTTTATCAAGCCAAATCACAGCTAGAACATTGGATATAAGTAATTGTTTGGTTGACCTGAATGCAGCGAGCGCACACACACACACTGAGGTGTTTTTGTGTAGGCTTAGACCTTCTGTTACTAAGGGAACCAACAAAGGGAAGGATGCTGACGTCGGAGCAGATGTAGCGTTTTGAAGGCCTTGTATATTTTTGCCATAACCTTCAACTCCTTACCCTGAACTCTCACCTCAGCATCGGGGAGGGGGGTGACTAAAGGGGTATGTGGTTAGTCGGAGTGTGTGACACTGGGTGTGTTCAGGTGGCTGCGTGGAATTGAGAATGGCAGTCCAATTTCAGGTGCGTCACCTGCTTCTGTGTGCCACACAGACAGGCAGGCAGACACCGTCTCCACGGCTTTCTATCCTGAATCCTAATACAGCCTCAAACACTCCGACATGAGTCCTGCAGCCATCATATCACTTCAGCACCTTCCATGACTTTTTCTCCCTCTGCCCTGCTCTGTGTGCTTCAAGCATAAGCAATGCATGCTTACCCGCCTCCTAATGCAAACACAGACAGATGCACAGATGCATGAATACTCCCATTTAAAAAGGTTTTGCTCTCCCCTCCTAAGAAGCAACACCCTGTTTTTTTTGGTTTGTTTGGTTTTTTTGGGCAGGTACGTACTAACACGCACAGGTAAAAGTGACTATATCTTGATTATTTGGCACCAGGTGTGACAGCTATGTTCCATCTGCCTTCTGGAAAGAGCCGTGGCCTTCAGAGAAATTAAATAAAGAGCAGACTAACAGGCTACTGCGGCTAGATAGTGCCACACATGGCTAAAGATATATTTCTGTGTGCGTCTGTGTGTGTGCGTGCGTGCGTCTGTGTTTACAACAAAAGCAGGTGAGCCAGCTCAGAATGGGGTGGTTGAGAGTGGTGGAGGGTGGGAGTGGGAGAGAGGGGGTCCAAAGTGAATGGCTGAAGAGAGAAGCAGCTTCTCCCGGCCTCTGTCTTTGTGGCCTTTCTTTCTCTTTCTGTCAGACCCTTACTGTTATTAGCTCCGTGTGCTCCATCAGACATGCTGTTCTCTCAGTAATCACAATCAATCCAGCCCACCGAGAGCAGGCAGCAGCTCCAACTGTTCTCCTCTCACAGGATTTCTGCTCCCCTGCATCTTTCTTTCTTTCTTTCTTTCTTTCTTTCTTTCTTTCTTTCTTTCTTTCTTTCTTTCTTTCTTTCTTTACCCTGTTTGTTATTACCTTTTTTCCTTTTCTCACTCCTTTCCTGCCTTCCTTTTCTCATTTTTTCTTTTCGCTATCCTCCTTTCTTTCCTTGTTTTCCTTTCTTGTTGCTTTCTTTCCTAATGCTTTTATTTCCCACCTTTTTCCTTCTTTTCCATTTTCCTTCATTGATTAAGTGTTTCTTTCCTTACCTAATTCTTTCCTGCTTCCTTGTCTTTCTCCTTTATTTTTTTTATTTCTCTTCCCATTTTTCTCCTTTTTTCTTTCCGCTTTCCTTTTTCTTCTTTTTTCTCCTTCTTTCTTTTCTTAAATATTTCTTTCCCTTTCTTCTGTCCTTCTTTTGTTAACTTATTTATTTCTGTCTTTCTGTTTTTCATTCTGTCATTCTATCTATCTATCTATCTATCTATCTATCTATCTATCTATCTATCTATCTATCTATCTATCTATAATCTATCTAGATAGATAGATAGATAGATAGATAGATAGATAGATAGATGGAGGAAGAGTCATGGGAGCAAAATAGCATAATTAATAATGCAGAATGATTATGCTCTCACAGGTGGCCGGTGTTAAAAATATCCCCAACCCCACCGTGGAATCGAAGAAGTAAAACGAAGGTAAGATGGAGAAAGAGAGGTGGGGAGTGGGTCGTGGGTGGAGGTTAAAAGGATAAAAGGAGGCAGGTGGAGAAACCAAGGAGAGAAAAATGGGATTTGATGAATAGATGGAGACAGGGTGCTAGCATGAGAAAATAGGAGTCCTGAAATGGAGAAAGAAGGAGCCTGGCGCTGAAAACTAATGTGTCTGTCTGCTGATCTGCTCACCTCCAGCTCTCATCAGGGCTCATTAACACGTCAAATTAATTCTGCACTCACACACAGCCTCAAACGCACACAGTCACACACACACAGCCATGTATGCATTCAAAAAATACACATTTAAACTAAATGACAGGTGTGTGTGCGGAAGCAAATTCTTTGTCACATGAAATCCTGAGAAGACTCTTGAATGCACGGCTACGTGTCGAAAGGCCAAATTATCAGGTTCGGGTAATCGTAAGCCATTTTCACGCACGTACTGCAGCGCTGAACGTTTCTACGTGTAACAGTGGGAGACGCATGCAAATCTCTGACACAGTTGGCTTGGCATTAAATGGCCTTTAACCTGCCAGCTCCCTACTACAAAGTCTGTGTGATGTCCTGTGGCACTGATTTGCATCAGTGTGGAATCAGTGGAGATAAAAGTCTGCTGCAGCGAGTGGTCATCCTGCGTCCTGTCTCCTGCACGCTATCTTAAGGCAGCAGAGTATCTGGGCTAGAAAGAATGTGTGACCAAACAGCTTAAGTCACATATTTATTAATTGTTTGTTTTTGTAGACTGTAGATAAAAGTCTTGTCAATCACAAGCGCGCCCTGTATTATCCTCCTTTTTCACTCCCATGGAAATCGTATATTAAACAATAAACATCGTGACGCATTCATTATGCTCTGAAACTAGAAGATGACTCATGAAGAGAGAGTGTTTACTGAGAGTATGGATCATGGGAGTCATAAAGCTGTGTTTTTGTTTGTCGCAGACTTTGAGGCCCCCTTAGTCGCCCCCTGCTGGCTATCTGAAAAAAATGTAGCTTTAAGGCTCATTTACATAGGCTTCACCCCAATAATTCTTCACCCTCAATAACATTGAAGCTATCCAATCTTTAAGTGATGACATATGAACCTGGCTTCCGGGTCCAAACTACTCTGTGTTTATTAAGGCTGTTGTGTTTTTAACTTGTTTTAATGCTTTGTTTCTTCTATTCAATCTGAACAAGCCCTTAAAAAAAAGTCAGTGACCACTGTCGGCCTCTCTCAGTTTTTATTACCACTATTCATTTTAAAGCTCAGTTTTTAAAACCTTACGATGTAACGGGAGCCCAGCTCATGCAGCAGTATATTAACGACTAACCTCGTATTGTGGATGGATTATCTCAGTTGTTCTCCTGACTAAAGTTGAGTCCGTTTACAGCATCGTGCCATGCAATTACATTTATCCCTAACCTCTCGGGAGCAATCATGTTAACTTTAATTGAGTGGAAAAAAGTTAGCGTTCATCCTCCATCTTTACTGTGTTTATGTTATGCTAACATAGCTCTGTAGCTAGCCACCACGTAGCACATCATACCAGCTAGTCCAACTTCAGTAACCCTACAAACATCACTTCTGTTTAGGTTTTTGTTTTCATTTATGTTGGAAGTGATAGCAGAGCTGTACGTTTTAATTTTTTCAGAAATCTCTCAGCCAGAGCATAATAAATTATGTTTGGGTGGAAACTAGCTAGCTAACTCCCCGCTAACGTCTAACTCCATTAAATTTAATAAATTGTAATAATCATGGATGCCTGGATGTTAAACTTAATTGTTACACCTGGTAGAGCAGGCACACCGATGATTTTATTAAAAATTAAAGAATTTAGACAGTTTTTAACTTTCAGTGATGCCGTAGTGTTCCTTTGAATTTGGGGCCAGAAGTGAAGTTTGGACCCGAAACGGCTTAAAGACCGGATAAAAATAATAATAAATTGAAATATATATGATCAACTTTACACTGAATCAACTGATTAATCATTAAGGAAAATGTGCTTGGTGTAAACTAATCATGAAAGTACATTTCATTTACATTTTATCAGATTCCATTAGATTTAAAGTTTTTCATGGTACTTATGTGACTAATCTACATGAAAAATCTACATGTAATTAAATGAGCTAAAGTGTGAATTTTGGGCTTAAACCCTCTTTAAGTGTACAAGCTATGTCCATCTTTTATATCCAGTTAGTTTACTTCACAGGAAGGTAGCATCTGATTAAGTCTTTCAGAGTCTGCAGAAAAGCTTTGCTGCTTCCATTTCATATTGAAGTTTTAATCTGAAGTGTGTGAATCCTTCAGCTTTATAAAAGTATGAAAACGTATCTGCCGAATATGACTTCAAGCTGATGCATTTTCTTTGCAGGGCTCAAACACCTGGCTGTGTTATTATCTTTCCTTTCATGATTTTTACCAGTATAATGATTGTTCCACCATTGTTGTGACTGTCAACCAGTGCTGGGTGTAATGCATTACAAAACAACACTTTACTGTAATCACATTGCATTTTTCAGAAATGCAGTAATGTAATGCATTACTGTACTAACTTCAGTAGTCAAGTTACAATTTCAGGCATTATCATCATCACAAATCACAAAATACAGTCACAATACAAAATAAAGTTGAGCATGATAGGGTCCCCTTCAAGTCACTTTTACAAGATTCTCAATTCCAAATTGGACAGCTGTAAACATTTTAAAGCCATCTGCTGAACTCTTGTTGATCAACCCGAACACTCACACAGAAAATAAAGAAAACGATCTACCTGGTCCCAGGGGCTGAGTCTCCCTCCAGAGAACATGAAGAGGTAACCCATGGTGACCAGACAGGCCCATATTAGCAGTGAGAACAGGCGAAGCATCCGCTTGAAGACAGATTCGATGCAGACGAGGATGAAGATGGACAGGAAGAGGAAGAGCGCAGTGGGCACTGTGATCAAGAACGTCAAGTGGTCTTCTGTATTCTGGAGAGAGACAGAGATGGTTGGAGGTGAGGTGAGTTTGGTGAAATTGAACACATTCATGCTTTGGCCCTGGGTTAACCAATCACCTCTAATTGGCTCTCCCGTGGCATCAGAATGCGACCACTTCTGTCAGTATCTCACCTAACCCCGTTCTCAATGCAGATAAAATGCCAGAGATTTACATGTGCAAAGAGTAGTTCTTTCTCTCTACACCAAACCACATAATGGAACGGCCGAAATTAAACACAGAGAGATAAGGCAGGGTAGGAAACAAAAGTAAGATTAAGGAGGCAAACTCTTGATTGTACTGTGACTCATCTGATATCATCTCCCCACCTGATTCTTAATATAGGATTATATCTGCACATCGGAAAATGATGCTAAGGAGGTACCACTTCCGTTAAAGAGAAGGGGACCTGATGACCAGATCTCGGTGTGTTTGCTTCTTCTATAGGTCAAAACCATGCACTCTGACTAATGTGTAAGCACAATTATGGACGGATTTTGATTTAAGAAAATGTTACTGAATCTAATTTTCAGCTTCTTCCTAATCCCTGATGCTCACCCCATAATACCTACAATGTCTTCTTCACCTCTCTTTAAAACTGTCCATTGCTTTGGATGGTTGACCACAGGACTCATCTGTCTTCGCTATCTCTGCTCTTTGCATTTTCACTTTTCCATCAGCCTCCCTCTCATTCACACTTTCAACTGAGCTTCATTCCTCTTCTCGCCAATGCGTACCTCCACCTCTCCACACTCTCTTCCACCTGGTCCCTATATCTCGGTACAGAGATCATCTGCAAACATTGTCCTGCCTAACCTCAGAAAACAAAAATGGGCTCAGGGTTGATCTGTCTCACATGGGAGGTCTCTGCTGTGGGAACGCACAAAAAAATATGAGCCACCCAAAAACATACTTGAAAACGGCCAGTACTGAAAAAGGAATAATTCACCTTCGAGGCCGAAACCATTTTGCACCCGTTCGAAATTGGGGCATCCTCTCAATTCATGTCCCTTAACCAGAGCACAGCCTGAAGGCAAAGAAGCACCTACCAGACCACACAGATGAGTTCTGATATTGTTTTAGACACTCATGTCTAAAAGCTTCAACCTTAACTCCAAATTGACAAAATGTTTGCTCATTTTTTTGTTTGCTAGTGATGATGTTAGGTCCTCAAAAGGATGGCGGTACTACACAGCGTGCACGCACAAACAGACGAGCAGACGGCACAGATCGGCAGGCAGACAGTCTGAGCCCAGGGAATGTGCTACAGCATCACTTCCACGCTCACACTATCAAAGTCAGCATTTAGAAGCTGTCACCACACAGACAGAACACTCTCTCGTCCTCATTTGGCATATATGCAGGTCAAGACGTTAAAGGCAACAAAAACTGTCCATCCCGTCAAGTCGTAATTTCTTTTGTTTCTCCCCCACACAGTGGTTCAGCTTTTTTCTCTCATTTAGCTTTGTGCAATTACATGCCTTATTAATATATTGATTCTTCTTTGTAGAAACTTGTGAAATCAAGTGCAAATGAGCTCATATAACTGCCAGATATATACAACTGGTTCAAGAAAAATGGCTTCATATGAGACTCATTAAAGCTTATGCAGCTTTTGCTTATTCTTTATGCAATCTTTACCTTTCTGGTCAAATGTTCTCAGCATGGAGACTCAAAAAACCCCGAATGCAGTTATGGGATTCAAGGTAGATTCATAATCGTCTTATTTATCATTTTTATAATTGTTAACATGAGCAGACTAGAACAAATCCAACAAAAACTGTAATGGAACGAGTCTGCAGGGTTCACCAAACCTACTTGCTGCTTATATTGAGGCTTCTACATACGAGTTCAGGGGAAAAAAGTGCACTTTTTTTTGCAACAATATTCATTATTTGGAGAATAATACGTGATGAACATGATGATGAACTCATGATGTTCATTTTCCTGCTCCATATTTTTTTCCCTTGCACTCTAGAAGGGCCAGCCTGGTGGTCAGCTCTGTCTTCTCACAGCATGAACATCCTGGGTTTGAATCCTGCAGCAAGATAGTGATGTCATGGTCCCAGCACTTTGACCCACTTATACAGAAAATCAAGATACTTCCTGCTTGTTTTTTTCATGTTATATTCTCAGACTTTCTTACTTTTAATCTCCTGTCTCATTCTCAGTGATTAGTTTCACTAGTACCTTGTTTCCTTCAATCATTTCTTGTGTTTCTAATTAGCCTTTAGTGTATTTAAAGCTGCAACTTGCCTTAGTACCTTGTCACGTCTGTCTCCCAGAGTGTTTACCTGTTTGGACCTCTATGGACTTTTGTTTTTTTGTTTGTTTGTTTGTTTTTACTTTGCCTCAAAGGTCCACATTTCCCTCAAACATGACAGAATGATGGACCCAGCCGACGTTGATGTACATTCTGGGGAGCTTAAAGACGAGTTTGTGTGGTGCTGTAAGATTTCCACCTGGATTCTTGGATCCACAAACATTAAAACCCTGTGGGTGGGAGATCAACAAACATCCACAATTCCTTCAGTCTCCCACAAGTTTGGACAGTTTTCCCAATAACTGCAAAGCGGAAAGATGACTGCAGTTGCTCAGATGTAAGTAGTATCTGAGTCTCCTTAACTCCTTAAATCCATCTGCTTCATCCAATTTCCAGTCACTTGTTCCTGCTACCTACCTGGCCAACAACCACAACCAGAGGATGACGAACTAGCCTCCCTTGACCCTCCAGCTGCTACATCCACAACCCAGTCATCCAGCTCCACATAGTAACTGGCTGCACCATCCACTGCCAACCTGCCAGAGCTCACTTCCTGCATTTTATCATCTTTTAAGAAGTCCTCAGTGACACAGCAGTGGTCCAGCTCCGAACTTTACTGCAATGGATATGGATAGATGGATGAAAGAAAATGGCCTCTAGAGGACTGGACTTGAACTACAGTAACTTTGCATGATATAAAGTTCCTTTAAAGTCACCCTCCTTTTATATCATTATGTTTCTGGTTAGTGGGGGGTGGCAGAGTGGGAGGTCAACAGACGAATTGGTGCTGCATAAGCAAAGCTCTTGATTTACCGGTCGATCATCCCTACCCTCACCTATGGTCACAAGCTTTGGGTGAAGAAAGAACGAGATCACGGATACAAGTGGTAGAAATTATATTTGTCTGAAGGGTGGCTGGCATCTCCTATAGAGATAGGATAGGGTGAGGAGTTCGGCCATCCGGGAGGGGCTCAGAGTAGAGCCTCTACTCCTCCACATCGAAAGGAGCCAGTTGAGGTGGTTTGGGCATCTGACAAGGATGCCTGCTGGGGACCTCCTGGGTGAGGTGTTCCGGGCATGTCCCACCAGAACAAGGCCCCAGGGCAGACCCAGAACACGGTGGAGGAATTATATCTCTCAGGTGGCCAGGGAATGCTTTGGTTTTCCCCTGGACAAGCTGGAGGAAGAGGCCGGGGAGATGGAGGTCTGTGCTTCTCTGCTTAGGCTGCAGCCTCCGTGATCCGGAAATTGATGGATGGATGTTTCTGATTGGCTGTCTCTCACAAACAGAAGGCTTAAATTGAATTGCTAATAGTTGAATGAGATGACCAGATTTAGGTTTCCCCCTCTCTTTGAAATCATACAGAGCCTGTGCTTTTGGCTCATAGAGATTACTTGCACATACACTTAATTCATTATTTGACTAAGTGTATGGCCCACTTTAATACCAATTCCACAGTCATGCTAATTAAAGACTGATGACAGCCAAGAGACAGTTGTTAGATTGTTGTCCCTTTTCCCTGCTGGATGTATCACGGATTCCTAGCTGTAAAAAATCACTGGCTAATTTGGCCTGGACCTACAGAAGAGGTATGACTAATTAAGTTAATATTTTGCTAAAAATTTCACTTGCCACTTATGATCTGATTAGCTGCTGAGCCTCTGCACCAAGAAATAATGACAGTAGTGTTTTCAGCAGGTCTGATTGTGCTGAGTGAACGTCCACAAAAAAAGGAGTGCATAGCCTCCTAGAGCTCATTCTACTAATCCGCCTGTGCACTCTGCAACTAATGTGCAAATAAAGCACTCCGCAACATCTTTTCAGAATTTATACACTCTGAGGGGAAAACAGGCAACAAAATAACCATCATTCACCCAAAGAGCAGGATGTGAAACACCTCACAGGCTCCATCCTAAAGCCAGTGCCCACATAAACCATTTAAACTTATTCTAGTCGAGTCATGATTACACTGACAGGTCCGGCATGATAATTGAGCGAGACTCTCTGTGATAACTTGTCAGCCATTTTACAGTAAAAGGCACGCCGGTGTGGGCAAAGAAACGCATTGGATCCTCTCCGCGTCCAATTCAATTTCTGTGAGAGAAGGAAAAAACAAGATGTCACAGCCTCAACCTTCAGTAACGGGATGTTTTGACAGTTTATTGACTCGAGCTGCTTGTTAAAATACAGCAGAAGCTATTCGGTCAGAACAAATCCAAGATAGCAGCATTAATGTGGCAACATGGTGCAGCAGCGGTAGCATGAGTCAGGGTCTGGTGAAGGGATCCCATGGGATCCGGCTGCTGACGCCACGGCAGCTATACAGTCAGCCCGGAGCACAGATTGAATCCTAATGAGAATGTAAGCAAGACTGCAAACTCTTACAACAGCAGAGGTTCTTTTAGCGTTAGAAACACACGCAAAACACACATGTGCACACAAGTCAGAGACATATAGAGAAAGAAAAGGGAGGGACCTCCTTTCTCGCTACATGCGCATTTGGAGTGAAGCAGCTGTTCACATCGACAGAAAGAAGCATCTGCACTTTGCACATTTCTGATCGTAGGCCATCTAATCCTGTTAAAACCCCTTTGAAACTGGTTAAAGCGTTTTCCCTTGACATAGCACAGAGGGAGTGGGGTGTGTCTGCCTGCTATATTGTGCAGCATTGTCACCCAGAACAATAATTTCCTTTTTTAACCCAGTCTGTCTCATCCAGCTATTATACT